CCCTGCCAACCATGACCTCGCATTGTCGGCCCATGTTCATCTTGGAGTCAATAATGACTCCAAGATCTCTTTCTGCCTCTGTGCTCTCAAGTAGGGAGTTCCCCATTGTGTAAGTGTGCTGCTGGTTCCTACTGCCTAAGTGCAGCACCCTGCACATGTCCGTATTGAAACGCATCCTGTTCCTGTTAGCATAGAGGGAGTAATACATTTTTTCCCTTCAGATATACTTTGAAGACTACGCAGAGGGCATGCCTGTCTTAGTACACAGTAAAGAGGTGGAAGTTGCACCTTCTTAGAATGCCCTTCCACCATCCTCCTTTCCTATCCATTCTCACTTGAAAAACTGTAACTTTTACAGTGCTGGAGCAGTGGTTGAGGAAGGGCTGACTTCCCAATGACACTTGTTACAGCTTTATATCTTTAATACACCCAGTTTACCAAGCACTAATCAGGTTTGATCCTACTTTGCAGGAGATCAGTATGAAGTTTCATGGCAGTTGTTCCTTGCCCAGATTAAAGTTTTTACAAAGGTAATGGTAATAAAGATTTATGCCCAGGGAAGTAAACATCTGGGCAGCAAGTATCGCCTTGTCAACTGCATCTGGAGAGAATTATTCAGTGCTCCTGCTAACTTCTTCGTCCAGATAGACTTGACTAATCTCCAGTTTCCTCCAATCTTCTGGCAGAAAGCTAGTGGGGTTTGGTTTGCTTTTCAGGAAGATGGCCCACTAAACAAGCTCTTATTCTAGATAGTATTGCAGTATTTGTTGCTTGTTTATTGTTAAAAGCCTTTTTACCAGCTGTGGTTATTTCATTCAGCTGTCCATTTACTTGCATTAGCTGCAAATCTACTTTTTCTAGTTTAAGTTAATGGTTTGTTTCAAAATGTGTAGCACTGTTTCATGAGTTCTAAACTTTGGTTGTATTAATGCCTAACAGGATAGGGCTTTGTTTACATAACTGCTCAAGATGTATCTTCAGACCACACATGTACAAATACTGTAAACCACAGGAACTGGGGGCTCCTTTAATGTAGTTAAACTTAGTGCAGGGTTATATTAGGAAAAACAGGAACTAGAATTAATGAGGATCGGTGTAAAAGCTCCAAAGTGCTACTGCTACACGATGATCAAAACTGAAACAAATGGTTCATGAGAGAGATGCACATTTAATATGCCTGTACTTTGAAATGTCTTTCAAGTGCTCACACTGTTCAGATCTATAAAGAGACTTGAGTGGAATACTAGAAGTATATGAATGCTTTGGGAAATGACTTGGGTCATTATTGTAAGCACTTATTTACAAAACATAAATAAAAGTCTGAAGCATGATATGCAGCATGGGTGGTCCAAAACACAAATGCATCTTTCACAAGGAGATTATCAAACTCAACCCCCATATATAAGTCCAAAATGTATTTAAAAAAAAAAAATAACCCCACATTAACAATCATACAATTCATATAATCCAAAGCTTCAATATGATACTGCCTACAAATTGGTCTGCACTGGGAAAGGGAAGTAATGTCAGAAAAGATGTGAAACTTCTGTAAATGCTGAGTGTTTTTGAATGGTGATGTTACAGATAATGCTTATCTAAATCTAATGAGATTTTTATTTGGTTTTATTCTTGGTAATATAAAGTAAAGCATGTAACTGTCAAGGTAACACAATCAAACAAGTATGTAAATAAGTGATCCATTGCTACACATCCTTCACTTCCTTTAATGAAACTATAATAAATGACCTGTGGCTCATATTCTACTACAATATTATTGAAAGAACTCTTTCTAGAAAAACTGATCCCAGACGAGGAATTATTTCTATGAAGTTGACTACCATTATTGGCATTTGTAACACTTCTGGTATTTCTGCTTAAGGAAGATTTGCCTGAACAAAATTTCTCTTTGTAAAACTATGGCTTTTTGCTCTTGGTAATTGCAGAATTCTTCTACAGACAAACCATGTTACTCATTACTTGAATGTTAAGCTTATTAATCCTTCACCAATAATTTTTCCCTTTAGGCTTCTCATTTCTTTTGGGGACTTTGGGCTTTAATTCAAGCCAAATATTCTACCATTGACTTTGATTTTCTAGGGTAAGTGACTATACTATCTATAAATGATTAATTTATTTTCCTCAGGCAAATTTCTGACTCTCAAGATTGCCTGAGTAAGTTTTATTTTAGTTTTGTTAACATTTTTCAAGCAGGATTTTTTTAAAGAAATACCTGTACACACAATTTCTTATGTGTATAGTGAGATTATTTCAAGGCAAACAGGATGCCCAGATAAATTCCATTGACAAAAAATGTGAGAAGTTCACCCTGTGATGTCTTAAAACCTTTTTATTTTAAAACATGACCTATATCTGTGAAAATATGTCAGAGTACTTTATAGCAGTGTAAGAGTGTCACCATGATGGTCCAGAAGTTATGAGAGGGGCAAGGATTTCTTAGGGTGATTATCTTTTATTGGACCAACTGTGTAGTTGGAATAAAGTCAAACAAGCTTTTGAATGCAAGACATTGTTTCCTGTGATCAGAGACCTGAGGATGTCTTGCATTCGAAAACTTCATAAATGCTTCATAAATATTGATGGTTTAAGTTTCACAGACTGAGCTTTTAGATGGGCAAATTTCTGAATTGGAGTGGTAGTGTCACAGAAGCTGAGTGACTTGGTCCCAGTGATATCGTGTCCATATTGGAGCTGAAAATGGCTCCCATTAGGTCTGAGACTTAAGAGTTATGTGCCCTGAGCAAGGGCTTCCTGACCTTCACATGGCAAGGGGTGTTCCACAGACATAATCTAAATGCTTTCCTCAATGATCCTTCACAGGATTTAGTGCCTTACCCAGATAATGGCTGATGTTGTGGGGTTGAGGTAATAAAACATCAGTGTCCTTGCTTTTTGGAGGGAAAGACATTGTTTATTAAGACAAAAGTGTGTCTGTTCTGAAAACTCTTTTACTTAAACTAAGATGCCACTTTAACACAAACATAAATTAGTAATCTGAGCCTTGTGGTTACTAAACAAATAAGCTGATTTCAGTGTTTTATTTTACTTGAACGTAGTGTTTGCAACTTGTTGAACTAGTGAATCAGGCTGTCATAAGATTCTCAAAATTCAAAGTTTTCTAGACAGTAACCACTAGATGGCACAGTATGCTAAATAAATAAGCACCACTTCCTAGGACTTCAGAATAATGGGAAATTATCCAATGAGGTTTTGAGACTCTTGGCATAAGCAGTTGGACTTTTTAAGAATTCTCAGGTCTTCCTAACTCTTTCAATTTTACTTTTTGAATAGGTATGCAATAGTTCGTTTTAACCAGTATTTCAAAATGAAGCCAGAGGTCACAGCATTAAAACTTCCTGAGTAATGAAGAAGGAACTTAAAATGAAGAAGCAATCCTAGAGAATAACTACTTTTTTTTTTTTCTGAGAACAGATACTGGAAAAAGCTAAACATTTGTTAAAGTACTATAATGTTCACTTGGTTGTTTTGCTTTACAAATGATGCCTCTAAAACAGTCTTTTAATGTTAAATCTAATGAAGAGCATACCTACTGCTGTTGATGTAAAATGGATTAGAAATTTGCTAAATCTATAAAAAGTTTGTAGAGATGGCAAGGTAATCCTTTCTTTTGTAATTTAACAGGTTGTATGTGAATTATTTATTATGAGTTTAACATGATTCCATTGCTGCTTTCATCACTTTCTGTAAGAGTTGAGTGGAGACAGTGAAATTGTTCCAAAGGATTTGTTTTTAGCATTTATTTTATTAAAGTAACGTTAACTTATATTAAACTGTACATGGTCAGAAAACTTTTAATCTTTGAACTGTATACAAAAAGTATGTGAATGGTAGTACACAGTAATTAGGGGAAGGAAGAGGAAGATAAAAAGCAGCTTTCCACATCATGGTACTTTTTATAAAGAGGTTTCCCTGTCTGTTGTGATGGATAAATGCCAATATTTTGATTTCCCTCCCCCCTTCTGCTTAGTGTACTACTCTGTAGAACTGTGAAGGTTTTGTGACCCTCTGATTATTCAGGAATATGTACCATCGCACAGTGTCTAACAGGAAGTGTACCAAACTGACTAAGGTGGAAGGATTTCTTGTTTTGGTAAATGTACATTTTTTTTAAAAAAAAAAGACCACTATTTTAACATCTCAAGTTATTCCTTCCCATTAAAAAAAGTTTTTCAAAACTGTTTGAACACTATGTTCTGGACTATGTGTATATTTTAACATTGCAATAGCAGCCAACAGGATGGACTCGTGATCTAAAGCTTAGTGAATGGAAATCCTGTTGCACTTGGGAGCAAAACAATAATTGCCACTTAAGTTTACAATCTATATATCATTTTAATCTTTCTTTTTTCACTTCTTTCTACCCTCTACTTCTGGGGGGGTTTTAATACTTAGTCTAGTAGTTGTAGATTCTCTTACATGTTCTCATTTTCCTACCAAATAATAACAGAAATTTTACTAGTACATTCTCACATTCAGAGAACTTTCTCCAAATGTATGAGGTTTGAACAAATGAGGCTTTGATCATAAAACTTTTTAAAGAGCTGCAATACCAAGAATGGTCTGAATTACAAAATATGAATTGAAAACATTTGCTTAGTAACACTGTGCAGGTGGAAAGGAGGCTTTAAATCTTAAATTGCTGTGTGGAGTTGAGCAGCCACCTAGACAACTCCAATTATTCCTCTGAAAACTTTGCACTTTGGTCACTTAAGTGCCCACGTGTACAAAGTCCGAGTGTGCGCATATACAATATATGCAAACACAAACTTACCTTAAGAATAGATATGGGGAGCCTGATGCACAGACTCCAGCAAAGATATTTATTCAAATTGCTTTGTAGTACAGTGTCATTTACACACAAGCTTGACAAAAGCTTGGATTGTACCAGGATGCTTAAAGCAATCAATGTGGATGAAACGCTTTCACCTTAAAAACAGTTGTGAATGTAATTTTGTTGTTTTACAAAAGCAAGTCATTTCTTAAGTTTTGTATTCAGTAGTGACTAGTCCCAATCTTGTATTTCCAACAATCACATTCTTAAAACAGCAAAATAAATGGGTAAAAAAAAATTTTGAGTGATTTAACATTTTTGTTAGTAATTATTAAAAAAAAAAAAAAAAAAAAAAAAAAA